GAGGGAGCAGGTCTGGTGCCAGCTGCACTCAGGGCAGGGAACCCACAGCAGCTATGTTCTGATGTTTTGCTAGGGGAGATGGCAGACATCTTTATTCCACCCTTACTGGGGCCTGAGTCAACAAAGTGCATTTTGATTATGGCAGATAATAAAATAGCTTTCAATATAAATATGAGTATATATTGAAAGTGAGGAGAAGGTTTTATTTATCTTTGCTGGAAACTAAGAAGGAACTTTTTGGCTTTGTTGAATGACTGGGTAAACAATTGGATAGTGACATCAAATAATTACTGTGAAATAATGTTTGGTGAAAATATATCAGGACATGGAGATTTCCTCTCATATTCCGATATTGTACAGCATGTGAAACAATGGACATGCATGGTACAAAGCTCTACATATTCACAGTTATTCAAGTACATCCATTTTTAATCATCCACACACATACTTATCATTTTTTACATCATCAATATCTAAATCACAGTGAGTTAGTTTCTGTCACTTTGAACATTATTTGTTTTCTTTAGTTTTGGATTGTTTGACTTGTTTTTTAATTTTGTCTGGAATATGTAGGGTGTTGAGGGAGAGTTAATTAGAAATATATCTGTATTGCCTATTTTTAGAATATTTTAAAGGCTTTCCATGTACCCTTTAGAGTTCTTAATGTGTACTTGAGCAGAGTATTTCAGAAGTTGATTTCAGACAAGTCCATATGTAAGGATATCTCTCTTGGTGTATCATTTATATTTCTCAAACATTCTAAATTTTTTGAAGATGTTTATACCATTAATGTAGTAATTGAAAAATATACTGCTGTATCTATTGAAATATTGTCGGTTTTATGAGATTCACAGAGGAGTATGCTCTTTCACATACATATGAAGAAGATATGTGTGCATTTGCACATTTGGAACAAAATGTGTTCCATGTTGCTATTTATTATGGTCCTATCATAGAAACATAAAATATTAAGAAATAAAATACATTATTATTGTATATAAATTCAACATTTAAAGTATTATCTCTTTTTGAGGAAATATTCTGTTGTTGTTTTTTTTCAACTTGACACAAGATAAAATTATCTGGGCTGAAATACCCGAGTTAAGAAAATGCATCCTTCCAAATTGCCTATAGGAAAGTGTCTAGGGTATATTCTTGACTAATGATTGATGTGAGTGTGTATCTCATTGGTGCAATGCCACTCATGTGCAGGTGGTCCTAACGGCTGAACAAACCATCAGTGTTTCTCATGGCTTCTGCTACAGTTCCAGCCTCGAGGTTCCAGCCTTGAGTTCCTACTCTGACTTCTTTCAATAAAGGAGTGTGATGTGGAAGTGTAAAATTATATGAACCCTTTCTTCCCAAATTGTTTTTGGTCATGGTGTTTTATCCCAGCAATAGAACCTGTAACTAAGACAGAAATTGGTACTGGGTTTGTGGGATAATATTGTGACACACCTGACAGTGTTTTAGGAAGGATTATGAAAGAACTTTGTAACTTCGGAACATAAAAGCAAATGAGTGTTTAGAGATTAATGAACTATTGTGTAACTTACATGATAATGCAGAGGGCAGTGCAGATGATAAGGGTTTGGCTTGGAAATTTTAGAAGAAAGATTGAGAGTCACTTAAAGAATCTACTGAGGCCACTCAATATTTTGAATTACGAATCTGTGATTCTGGTCAAAAACTGGCTGAGGTTGAAAAGAGACTGGCATTGTTGAGGTATAACCTGGGAAGTGTCTTCTCACTGTCAGCACACAGAAGTGGAAGCTATGGCCCAGAGGGGGACAAGACTGTCCCTGTTCTGACAACCAAACTCTGTAATGTGAAAGACTCACCCAGTTGTTACTGGTTTTGGAGACCTGAAGGAGTCATAGGGAATAGCTGAGGCTTGTCACTGTGAAAGGCTATGAAAGGTTGTGGTGAAGACAAAACCCAGGTCAATGAGGACCCCAGAATTTTTGAGATGTGAGTACATTGGGGTGAAACCAAGAATAGCAGCAGGTGTCAAGGGAGGTAGCTAAAGCACAGCAGAACCACTATGTGTACTCGGATGGGAGAGCAAGAGTTAGGGAGATGCCAAGGCCCTTTGCAGACCAGAGAATCTTTTGCATTCTTTAATTTTGATTTTGCTTTGCTGTGAATATTATTATGACCAGGTTTTCCCCTCTTGGGATAACAAGGTAGGTAACTCATTTTTTATTTTGTAAGAGCTCACTGTTTAGATACTTTAAATTTTTAAAAACATTAGAATTTAGAGGCTTTGGATATTTCTGAGAGGCTTTGAAATTTGGAAAAGACTTTGGGTGTTTTAAAGAGACTGAAAATTTAAAGTGTTTAGCTTTTTAGCAGCGAGGATGAACACATATTGATATCCAGGATCTAGTGGGCATAGACGGCATTGATGCATGTATGCTATGTTATATAATACTAGAAATTCTACTGAGGTTGGGATGATTAGTCCACATTCAAAAGCAACAACATTTCAAAAACAAAAGGAATGATCTCATATAAATGGAACCCATCAAATTACACCTAGTCTCTGTCATCACATATCTGGTTGTATATGAAATAGTTGTGTTTTCACAAGTATCAACTCAAATAAAAGCTTTCTGTTTTAGTTTTCTGTGGGATCTGGAGATCAGAATTATATAGAAATTAGAATGCCGCTCTGAAGAAGGGAGTTTTACTATTGAGAATCAATTTTAATCTCCCTTTTGAATATGAGATGGTCTATTTTTTAATGTCTCATGGTTTACAGAGTATGTCTTTTTCTTAATATTCTTGACCTTCATGTCATGTGTCTTTGTGTGAATATTCTATTCACCTTGGTTTTCTTTGAGCATGGATGATGTTCAATTTTTCTCAAAAAAGGGCAAGCAATTGACAGCCCTAGAAATTTAGCACTCAATTAAACTGATGTCCATACAGGTATAACTCCCAAACTAAGATGGCATACATTGAATTAGAATATTGGATTCATTCCATTCTCTGAAGACCATCAAGGAAGTATATAAAATGTGAGTGAGGTACAAAGCAGGATGCTAGGTCCACTGGGGAATTTTGGGAATTTCCAGAAAGTCAATTTTTTGTTGCTTCTAATTTTCTAATTTGTGTTATTGTTTCTTTGCAAATTTTTATGATTGGAGTTGAAAGACCTGGGGACATAATAATAAGTTTAATTCTACTCCTATTTGATAGCATAAAATTAGGAGGTTCTCCACTGGGAACAATGAGTAGTCTAGTCGCAGGTGTTCAGTCTCAGTAATGGTGCCAGGTATAGGTTTTAACTCATACAGGCCTTAGATCAAATCATGAAATGGATGGTTAATCCCACAACATTGATGCTACTATTGCAGCAGTGAGCATGTTTTGCCAGATGGGTTGTTACTGTACCTCCAAGGATGAAAAACTGAGTAAGGTGAATGATTATTTTGCCCCCACCCCAGTACTATGCCTAGTACTTCCCAGAATTGGAAAATCTAGTCAGTAGGGATGAGGCTTCCAGGTGAGTGTCAAGTTGATTTTCCCATGTTCTGTGACTCAAGAATGTGGTGTCTCTGCAATAGAGTCTTACCATAAAGTACTGGAGTGTATCCAGAGCATTGTCGATAGGCTATATGTTGGGGGGTCTATGAGAACTGACTGGCCAATAACTTCAAGAGAGAAAATTCATTCCTAGCACTGGGTTTTTTGTTACCTGTGGTGTCTAGTAGAAATATTGTTGATATATTGTAGAATAACTTCATGTAAATTTTTGATATGTATTTAACAGATAGATAGATAGATAGATGTATAGATGTATAGATGGAGTGTGTGTGTGTGTGTATGTGTGTGTGTAAGCTTCTAAAGCAATAGATTTCCATCTTAGTTTTAGAATTATAAATTAGTGATAGTTACTCCTTTGTCCACATCTTCCACTACCATACACTCCCATTACCAACATCATTTAACTCTTAAGTTTTCAAAGTTTATGAAAAGTAGACATAGAAAGAAATGTGAGAATGGCTTGCCAAGCAATGAAAAGGAAATGAGACATACCATAAACCTTGACCATAAGTGTATATTTTGCCCTAATAAAACCAGTCCTAAATGGTCAAAAAAGGAGTATATTTTGTATATTTTGAAGTACATGATCTCAAGAATAAAAATAAACATAAATTGCAGTGGGCAGGTTATTTAAGTACTTCCAATATATTTTAGGAGGAAGGAATATTTTTAATAAGATAGAGAGCTATTAAAAGATCTAGGAAGGATTTAAGCATGACATGGAGGTAGAAAATTGTGTGTATGAACAAATAGAATCACAAAGTCATTCCTAAAAGAATAAAATGAGGAAACTACTGATACAATTCAATCCAATAAATTCTAGGGTGCTGCTCTGAAAAGTATGTAGATGTTGGAGAAGTTGACAGTAATATGAGCACAAAGGACCCAAAGATCACAATCCAAGGCCAGGAAAGACACGATGCTAGTGAGGGGTGTTTGAGGCAGAGCCTAGTGGACAAGGGTCAGTGGCGCAGCGTGGTCATCTTACTTCAGTCATTGTTCATCCAGGTACACTGTAATAGGATGCAGTCCATTTGCATGTACATCACTTTAGAATGGGAAAAATCAGAAACCCACAGGCAGATATCCAGGGACAGGCTCCAAAACCAAATAAGAATGGAAAAAGGATCCAGGATATTAACACCCATACTCTAAACACTGCAACAACTATTGATTCCAACACTTTTCTTCCACCACAAGTCCCTGGTCTAAGTCACCTAACATAGCTTATGGGGAAGAATATTCTAGGCTTGTTTATTAATACAGAAGTTCTACATCCATTTTGCACAATGACACAGCTTGCATTTAACTCTGTTTTTGTCTTACATGCAATTATGGACATTATCAATTGGGGTCATTCACTCACACAGGAATAACCCTGTTTTGGAATTGTCTGTATATGTCTGTAATCCTATGTCCATTTTCATCTTTTAGGATCGTCCATAATTGTAGAGATAATGAGTGAATACAAGACAATTGTTCTTCAACAAGGATTAGAGGATGTGGCTGTGGATGACTACCAGTTTAGGAAAATCAAGTCCTTACTAAGACAAGAACTAAATCTAACAAAAAAGATGCAAGATGACTATGACAAAATTCAGATGGCTGACCTGTTGGAGGACACATTCCCAGAAGATGCTGGACTGGACAAACTGATAGAAGTGTGTCAAAGCATTAAAGGACTTGAAGACCTTGCTCAAAGGCTTAAAACAGAGAAGGCAAAAGGTAACATGGGAGCATCCTGGACACTCATCCCTTCTCCACCTTCCCCAAACTTTCTGGCTCCCTGCAGATATCAGAACTGATATGTTGCTTTCCCAGTGTGCACCTTAGAAATTATGGGGGTTGACACATTTCAGATGTCAACAAATTGATGATTTCAATAAATCCTTTCTTACAAAGAAACTTGATATATTTCAGGGTAGACATCTTTTAAATTGGAGGTAAATTTTAAAAAAGTAATTGTTGAGATAGGTTAGAACACCCACATGGTAGAAAAATTAGAAAATGATAGACTAAAAATTGAAAAAAAAATCATGTCCCATATTTAAATAGAGTATATATAATATTTGATTAACAATCTTACCCATTCATTAATAACTTTTCCAGTAAGAAATTTTATCTAATATTTAAGTAGAAGCCTGTATTTTAGAGATGTGAAGAAGTTTCTCTTTATAAAGTCACTGCGTTTAAAAAATACTGGGTATACTGGTACACAACACTGACATGAGAATTTAGCATAAGGAGGCCCAGTCAAGGATATTGCAGATTGATAATACACTGAGTTATATAGAAAGATATATATATATATATATATATATATATATATATATATATATATCCCCAATATAGAAGTCCAAATACAATTTCACTACTTTGTTACATCAAATATCAAAACATAATTATTTTCATTTTTCTATGATTTGGAATGATTGTCCTTAGAATGTAACCTATTGCTATTATCATAAAAGTTTCATGTTTGTAAATCAGACTGTGGGATAAGAGGGCTGGGACAGGGTTGTAGTGATTAAAACAGAAGTTTCCAAGAAGAAGAAGAAGAATAGAAAAGCTGAACCCACTACACCTGGGATGAGCAAAGAATCCCCTGAGGTACTGCCTGTATGGGACTTGGTACCACTGGTGGCCTTCTGGCCAGGTAAGGCCTCTGCAGCAGAAGAAAGTAAACACACAGAAACAAGTAGAGACTAAATAGTTCTTGAAATTTCTGCAGCATATTTGATCACAATGTGCACCCTGAGATTGTGTTATTTACTTGGAAAAAAACTGTTTCTAGGTCTGGGGTGGCTCAGCCCTAGCACACAGCTTTATTTCAATATCTTTCTGCTTGATTATCGTAAATTGTGTTAAATCAAGTCAAGCATAGGTTCAGAGGCAGAGCAAGCAACGAATTAACAGGAAGTGAACATAGGATTGTTGAGAAAAAAACACAGAGAGTAAGAAGAAGTAGGGAGGATGGTTTGGGAGAAGCACAGGAAGGGGAAGTGAGGGACATTGAGTGTGAGCAGTTTTGCTTTGCAATGGCACAGGAAAAGGGGGATTATGGGACACTAGTGGAATAGGAAAGTTACCTGGGTGCTCTCTCTACCTCTGTGAGCTAGGAAGCTGTTGCCCCAACATCTGGCTCCCGAGTCTTTATTGGTAAAATTGAACAATTGAGGTTTTTTGTTTGTTTGTCTGTTTTCATTTTTCTTTATTAAGAAATTTTCTACTCACTCTACATGCCACCCACAGATCCCATCTCCTCCCTCCTCCTACCCCCCCATTGAGTTTTTTTAAAAAAACAACATGAAATAATTCTTTCTATAAATTTATTAATGAAAATGGAATAAATTATCAATATAATTTTTAAAAAACAAAATAAATAATTCTGAATGAGCTTCAGCCATCTTAACCACTTCCCTGGATTTATTGTGTTTTCTTTATTCCTGCAGTTATGAAGCAAAAGAAAGGAAAAAACAAAACTGCAGTGAAAAGAAGAAAGCAAGAAGAACCCAGTAGTTCCCGATCTCTTTCCACTGATAATGAATCAGTCAAGAGCGAACCCTCTGCACAGGTAAGGTGGCTGGCCTCCCACCAAAAAGTTTCTCCCCAGGTTCTTTCCCTTCTTAACTCTTTAGGAAGATTCAGTACTCTATCTATCCAGTCCACGGCTCTAGTGAGAACAGGGATCTAAGTCAACAAATTCATAGGGACCTGTCACTCCTTCAGTGTCAGATATATAATGTCTCTAACTCGTGCAGTATAACCCCCAGGGATGAAAACAAAAAAATCACTACGTGACTTTTTAAACATCATTTACTGAAATAGCAGTTGCTTTGGGATGTGGCTTTTAAAAAGATTAAATTAAATATGAACTTTGTAATTCTACACCTAATACTATTCTGCCACCACAGGGATAAGTAGGATGAGATAAATGTAATTTTTCTACTCCTCTATGAGACAACCCTATACCACTTAGTTAGGGTTTCAATTGCTTTGAAGAGATGCCGTGAGTACAGCAACTCTTATTTAAAAAACACATTTAATTGGGACTTGCATACATTCAGAGGGTTAGTCCGTTATTGTCATGGTGGGAAGCATGTCAGTGTGCAGGCAGACATTGTGCTGAAGAGGTAGTGTAGAGTTCTACATCTCCACAGGCAGCTGTAAGAGAGAGTGGCACTGGGCCTGGCTTGAGCATCTGAAATCTCAAGGCCCACCCCTCAGTGACACACTTCCTCCAACAAACCACACCTACTCCAACAAGGACACATCTGCTAATACTGAGACTCTCTGATGACCAAGCATTCAAATCAATGTGTCTATGGGGATCAATCTTATTCAAACTACCACAACATATGATCCATCTGTTAAGAATGAGGTGTGCACAATGACACAAATATAATTAGAATCCAGTAATAAAACTAAGATTTTTATAGTCCTTGAAATATTATGCTTTGCTTAATACTAAAGACATTACTAAGGCTAGAGATAAAACTATATGGAAAAGTACAACTTAGCATGTACAAAGCCTGGGGTTCAATTTCCAACACATGGGAAAATCAATAAGGAAAGGCAAACATTGTTCTTTTAGAAAAAGAGAAAACAAACCACAAAAACTGAAGGTGGCAAGAAAATGAAGCTTACCCAGGAGCAGACTCAGTTTCTAGAGTCTTCAGGAAGCAACCCACAAAAAGATGAATGTTGTCTCCAGACTCCTCATAAGCCTCCCCCAACACCATCCAGCAGTTCCTCAAACAAGGTACCACTTTCCTATTCCCAATGCTTGCTCCTTCCCAAGCATTATCTCTGGGCTCACCACAACCTTGGAAAAACATCTCACTGATCCCCTACTACAAAGAATTTCCTCTTATTATTAAATAGCTCAGTAAGTTATGTAATCATGTATCACAGCCTCTGTGGTATTGAACAGGAAAGTATTTATGAAATGATTTCTAATGTTGTCAATCAACTTTCTGCTTAGGGTTCAGAAGAAAATATAGCGGAGACAAACAAGGACTAACACAAGAATGTATCAGTCCCCATTGCCTAGTTTCTTCTCAGACCTTTTCCCTTTGCTGGTGACCCAACTTCAGAGGTTATTTTCACAATTCTATGCTCTTCTCAGCACGTGTTTTGACACATTCTGTTTCTTTGCTTAGAAGTTTTTATCCCTGTCCATTCACTGACCAAATATTGTATACTGTAATGGTCACTTTTGATGAGAGTCAACTTCAGACCCTCCCAGGCATACACTAAACTCTCCCAGCATTGATCATCAAAGAGAACATCTTCCTGTTCCCATTTTGCTGCCTTCTTAATATAGTTGCAGGAACCATAACCATTATATATATAAATATAATCCATTCATCATGCATGCATTTTGGGATCCTTACTGCAATGTATACAAATATTCTTATTTTATTGCATGGTACAATTGTGTTGAACACTCCATTTGACCAGCAGTTAATCTTTTTAACAGGTAGAGTCCTGTCATTTAGCATGGGAACTCCTTAGGCACATCTAATTAACCATGTTTGTAAATGATTACAGCAATATATTTCAAAATGTACACAAGCCTGGAAAATAGGCTACAATTAGTAATAATTTTGGCTTGAAAGGAATCAGCGTTATACCCATTGTAGCATTTTAGAAGAATTTTTACCTTTAAAAATCAAAAACATAAAACAAAAACAGTAAAAAATGTCCATTACTGCTAAAACAAAGTATTTGCATACTAAGTTACCTTCACTTTTAAAGCAAATTTTGTAATATTTACATTTTTATACTTCTAAGATTATAAAAGTGTAATGAGGACCCTAACTACATCTGTTGCCTATGTACAAGTATTTCTCACATATATGGAAGTTTTATTTAACTGGAGTTAAGGTCATTTTAAAGACCTAAATACAGGTTTAAATGCGTCTAGATGGGCTTCAGGCATGCTATTCCAGCACGCTGTCAACTGAGCTACATTCCCATCCACCAAAATCGATCTATGAGGGTATTTGTCCCACAATTACATCACCTGAAAGTGTGGAGCATGGTCTCTCTGTGCATAATAAGGATTGAATATTTGATGAACTGGAAAGTCTACCTGAAGAAAAGTACACAGATAGCCAACTTTACTACAAACTTCATTTCCCACAAAATAACACTAAAAGCTGAATGAGGCCAAATAATATCAGCTTTGTAAGACACTTTGAGCTCGTATTCTATGCCAGAACGGTGAAAATTCAATACCTGGCTTTTAAGAGAAGTTGTAATATTGATTAGTAAGAGTGAGAACTAGGTGTAGGAAATACCTAAGTTTGTTCTAACATACTTCCTTCAGCCCAGGAAAAACCTGACAGGGTAAAAGTTATCTTCTGAAAAGAGAAAGTGAAAAGATGAATTTGGTCTTATTTTCAAAAACCAATAAGCACTATTAAAAATATCTCAATCCTATTTTCCTTTAAAACAGAAAAACACAAACATCAAAAAACATAGTACCACAGAGACACACGTTTCCCAGAAAAAACATCAGCTTCTAGAATTTGCAGCAACCAGCAACTCCCCAGCTTCCAGGAAACTCCAGACTCTTCCAGAAGTTTCAGCAGCTTCTAACAGCCTCCAGGCACCTCAGAGACCCCTAGGAACATGCTTCACTTTTAAAATGTCTTCAAGCTCTCCAGCACCACCGTGCCAGAATTTTCCAGTGTCTCCAGCATCACACTCCAGCATCCATCTAAACTCTCAAGTGCCTCTAACACTGTCCAGTGGTGTCCAGGCTCCTCATGTACCTCCAGCAACAATATCTGGTAATAGCTGGGTCACTCACATGCCTTCAGAATCAGTGTCCAGCTCTATCAGTACTCCTCAGATGTCTCCAGTATCAGTGTCCAGCAATGCCCAGAACATTCACATACCTACAGCAGCAGCAGCCAAAAGCAAACAGTCTCCTCACAGTCCTCAAGTAATAACATCCAGATGTACCCAAACCCCTAAAAGGCCTTCAGCAACATTGAGAAGCGAAGCCCAGGTCAGAACGATCACTCTAACAATAGCATCCAGCAATATTCAGGTCCCCCATGCTCTTCCAGAAGCAGTGTCCAGAAATGACAGCACCACCCAGGTATCTCAAAGAGCAGCATCCAGTGGCATTCAAACTCTTAACTCTGTTACAGTAAGAGCACCCAGGAATTCCAATGTCCCAGGTCCCTTAGGAACAGGACATGTTTATTTCCTGGCTTCATTGGCATCTCCAGCAACAGCATCAACTAGTCTCCAGACTTCTCAGGTACTTCTACCAACAACATCCAACAGTCTTCCAGCTCCGCAGGTTTCCATACCAATAGGAACAAGCAGAGTCCAGACCACTCAAACACATCCAGGAGCAGCATCCAAAGTAATCCAGGCTCTTTATGCTTCTCCATAGGCAGAGTCCAGAAGTGTGTGCACCACTCAAGGGCCTCAAGGAGCATCATATGGTACTGGACAGGCTCTTCCCTGTCCTAGAGTAAAAGCATCAAGGAGGGTCCATGCTCCTCAGATGCCTTCAGCAACAGCATCAGAAAGTCTCCTGGCTCCATGTGGATCTCTACCAACAGCGTCCAGCAGTCTCCTGGATCCATGGGTGTCCCCAGCAATGGCATTCAGTGCTCTCCAGGCTCCTCTGGTGCCTCCACCAACAGCAAGCAGCAGAACTTCATGGGTAATGCTTCCTGTTCTCACAATATAATGACAGAGATTAGCACAAACTTGGAAGGTTTCCTCATTAATCTATGTGCACATAATCTTTTATTCAAATAATCACTCATTTTATTGTGTTAGTTACTGATCCTTCTCTACATTCAACTTTAAAATGCTTTATATGCTCTATCCCATTAAGAAAATGCCTGACTCAGTGATCACCTGATCATGCCTATTCTGTAAGGAGTATAGTGAGACACTTGCTTATTTAATTTTACACTCTGAACTTTTTGTCAAGATATTCTTTTCATATTGTGAATTGCTGTTCCAGTTATAATGAAAATATACTTCCTGATATTAGAATACATTGATCAGGAATCAGAGTTAAACCCTACCACCCACAGGGCGAAGTCTGTACTTTTTCAAATCAAATTTCAGAGAGTGTTACCAGTTATAGCTGCCTCCCTGAGCTGGTATGCAGGTTGTCCATGACTGCCAACATGCTTCTTCTTTCAGCCCTACAGTGTTACCTCCATTTCATAGTGCTCTCCTGATGCTCAGAAATAGAATGGGATACTGAGGAGGCAGGTTATCCAAGTAAAATGACTTCAGGACTTTTTCTGATGCTAGGATTCTCCTCCATGCCAGCTATTATGAAAAAAGAAGAGCTGCTAGCTTGAATCCTTTTTGTTTAACAATATTGAGTGCATCTTCTTGGGGCTGCCTACCTAGCCCTTTTACAAGAAAGCTCTGACTGTTTAGACAAGGTTTTGTAATTGGAATCTTCAAAATGTTCCTACATAGAAGACTTGACTAGAACATGGAGGCCTTGGGTTCATTCCACATAACTACAAGTATGATCCATTTATCTACCAGGTATGATTAGTATTAAGTGGAATCACTAAGTAGTGAATTAGATAAATCTCCATTTCTTCCTTTTTTAGGTTATAGTATGGCAATCTTTGTGTAGATGTTCTCCATTCTACTCAGTGGAGCTGTGCCTTATGATCTGTTTGAATTATGCATGTTTATCCTCTGTCTGTTTTATGTAGACACCAAAGAAGGGAAATTTACCAAAGGAGCCTTCTAAGGTAGAAGGTCACCATCGAGATCCCATAGAAGTGATGGTGTTGAAAGTAACAGAACCATTTACTTATGATTTGATTGATGACAAAAGGATGTTCCATGCCACGGTGGCTACTGAGACTGAATTCTTCAGAGTGAAGGTTTTTGACACAGCCCTAAAGAACAAGTTCATCCCAAAAAAGATCATTGCCATATCAGATTATTTTGGCGTCAGTGGATTTCTGGAGATATATAGAGCCTCCTGTGTGTCTGATGTGAATGTTAACCGAACAATGGTTATCTCAAATATACTGAGGAGAAGAGCCAATGGAACTCCTAAAATTAAGGATCTTTTCTCTCAAATAAAAGGGACATATGTGAATGGAGAGTTTGTGGTAACTATGGTAAGCCATTCCATTATTTGTAGAATACCTTTGCATTCTGAGATTTTAAGTTTTAACTTGGCACTGGAATTTGCTCAACTTACCTAACACAGGAAATAATCATCTTTCATGTCAGAAAGAGATGAGTAAGTCTTTCACATTTTGGATATTGGGATAGTCTCTTACCATTCCTCTCCTCAAGTTACCACCATGAGAATTCTTTACAAGGAGATTCATCAGTAACCTTTGGCATTTTCCTGGCTGACAATCCATCTAGAGACATCCTATTCCCAGACACTGTTCAGTTTATAGCACACTTTCCTTTTAGATTCTTTTTCTTTGATAGTTTCCTAACCCATCTCATTGGCAACTCAGTAGTGAATGGAGTCAAACTCATAGACTAGATACAGTTTGCAATGATGAGAATAAAAAACCAAATAGACAATTCTGCCCTAGAATGAAGCCGTGTCCAACAAGCCAGGATTATTTCATAATGTGTTCTCATTATCACATTTTTTTTTATTTTATCAAGATCTTTTGACAGAGTGAATAATATTTTAAATAATGAGAGAAACAGCAGTTTAACAAACTAGTTTAATTTCACAATTTATAACTAGGCACAATGAAAATGAGGAAATTTAAGGAATTCTGTGACTTTTGAATGTTTCTTTAAGTGCCGATGTACTAATTCATTAGTATGCTTGCTTGTTCAATGTATGATTTCATAATTCATTGTGTATGAATCAGTCATGACTTTTTCCTTTTATCTATGCTGTTGTTGGCATGCTGTTATATTTGGTTACACAATTAAAAGTAAACTAAGTGAGACACAAACTAAAACACCAGAAATGTTGCTGTAGATTTAACCTTTGAGAGATTAGGAAGGAGGAGACAGAATCGATGTGTGCACTGAGCAAATGTGATCCATTTAAGCAGGAGGGGTGTGTGTGTGTGTGTGTGTGTGTGTGTGTGTGTGTGTGTGTGTGTGTGTGACTGTCTGTCTTATGTGACTGTGTATTTGTTTCTCATGCTATTTCTTCCTTATGTCTGTTACTTTGTACATTTTGTTTTATTCTTGTTGATTGTTTATTCTTGTCTTCTTTATTTGACTGTTTTCTTAAGAGAGAAAGAAGGGATGGAGTTGGAAAGGTGGGGAGGAGAGGATTGTGTAGGAGGAAGTAGGGAATAGGAAACTGTGATTAGAATATGATGTACGAAAATAACTTTATTTTCAATAAAAAGTAAAATAAATTAAATGAAAAGGACTTATAATAGTGTTTCTCAGATTCATGATGAGCCACAAATTGCCTTTCTTCTCAGGCCTCTTGGATATAACTAAGACTTGAAATGGCAACTAAATGGGGTTTGATGTATATTTATGTTTTCTCATTTTTGATCCCTTACATTGGAACCCCAAGAAATCTCAGCTATTCTGATATGTTCCCATTAGTACTTAGGAAGATACCCATTTTTTCTAAAGGCACCCAGCAGATAAAGACCTCAAGTAGGTAAAACTTAAGAGAGGCTTCCAAGGGCTGCAATTATAGCTCGGTCATTAAGGGCTAGGCACACAAAACCTCCAGAGTGATTTCCAAGAAAAGATTTGTTCACCATAACATGTTAAACTCTTCCATTCAAGTAATTCTATTTTGTCAGCTATTCCTTTCTTTTGCCTGTGAGGGTTGAGAGAAACACAAAGGCCATGAAAGCAGTGTGGAAGTCAAAAGAGAAGCTCCACAACTGAGTTCTCTCCTTCCACTCTAAGTCCTGGGAATTGAGTGGTAGTCAGGCTTGCCAACAAGCACCCTTACCCACTCAGCCATCTCACTGGCCTTTTACCTGTGATTCTAAACCTAAGAGCCATACTTGCCTTGTCAGGGACAGGTTTATGTTAACACTCTTTATTTCTCATAGAAGTGATAAGCTTTCACATATTTCCTAAAAGATGATTGTTAACTTGTTTTTCAGAAAAATGAAAGGGGTGACTTCATTTACTATGGAATTGAAGACAATACTGGGAAAATGGAAGTGGTGGTCTATGGACGACTGACCAGTATCAACTGTGAGCCAGGCAATAAACTTCGACTTGTCTGCTTTCAATTGACCTCAAGAGAAGATACATGGCAGCTGAAGTCTGTAAGGCACAGTTACATGCAGGTGTGTGCTTTGGGAAATACAATTCTTCCTAAGGATCATATATTTCAATCTCCTGCAGCCCAGGGTGACCTTGAACTCCTGATCTTCCTGCTTCTTCCCAAATGCTGGGAATAAAGGTGTGTGCCATCACTGCCTGGCCTCTATGGTTAAATAGTGGCTGGCTCTACCTTTGGATCTCCAGGCAAGCTTTATTTGTCAGAACACAAACAAAATATCACACAACACTGACTTTCCAAATTGACCAAAGACTAAACACAAAGAACCTTGAGGTCTCCATCTGTAACTTTCAAATACTTTTGTTGCAGAGGATGATGAACAGAAACGGTAAGTTCCCAAGGATGCCCTGAGGAAATCAGACAATTGCTAAAATCCACAATCCTTGTAATGCTTACACACTGTGTGAGATTCATTTTACACTTATAACAAAAGGCCACCATTCCAATGTAAACAGTCAGTAGGAGTGTAGAGAGAAGTGTGAACCATCTGCATTTCAACTGCTCTGACCTCATCTTTTTTTCTTTAAGGTTATCAGTGCCAAAGGAGAGGCACTCAATCCTGATTCAGTTATGAAAACCTCTCTAGAACAATACTTCTGACAATCTGGATGCCAAGGATACTGTTTACGGAGATAAGATCCAAGTCCAGAAGTTAAATGTATATATGACCTGTTGAAATACCGTACCTATGAAAGCCAGCTTTTGTTTGTTTGTTTGGTTGGTTGGTTGGTTGCTTGCTTTTTCAAGAGGGGATTTCTCTGTTTAGTCCTTGCTATCCTGGAAATCACTTTGTAGACCAAGCTGTCCTGGAACTTAGAGATCTGCTTGCCTCTGCCTTCCAAGCGCTGGGATGAAAGGTGTGTGCCACCACCGCCCTGCCTGCTATTATATCTAGGAAATGGTGCTTTCTTATATTCTTTATACATTTTTGTATTATCTAAATTCCATATTTTGTATCTAAACTTCTATAACTCTTAATCTATAAGTTTTATATATAAAACTTAAAAATTGTTTTTGATAAAGCAGTGATTCCTTGGGAATATCTTTAAACCATTTGAAGTTGCTCTAAAATAAACTATTAGTGATCTGCAGATAAAACTATGGAATACAGGCTTCAAGTGTGATGTTTAAGGACAAAGTTTGTTCAAGAACAAACAGACTGTGTCCTGCCCAGAAAAACCAAACATTAATAATACACAGGAGAAGGTTGAATTCAGCCTTGAGTGCAGTTTCCAAAAGTAGTGTGCTGAGGACCTGGCAAGTCTTCAGACGTTTTTCACTGAGTAATTATGACTGTATTATAGAGTTTAATATTTGAGCAAAGAATTAACAAATTATGGGTGTTAAGAGTGAGGAATTCGGAGACAGAGCCTGCCAGTGCCCAACTGGATTAAGATGTGAGTCTTTGTCTAGGTGGGGCCCAGGGGCACAACCCTGCACCACCACACCACCACCCATTGCAGTCACAGGCTCAAGCCAATAGGCAGGCCACCTGCAGACTGGTCAGACTACCACCGTCCCCCACCAAACCTTGTAACTCAAAAACCCCACCTCCCCCAAATCCTACCCACCCTCTGAGACTGCAACTGTTCCCTGAGACAGAGCCTGGCAGTGCCTGATTGAACTAAGAAGTGAGTCTTTATCCTCCTACCCCAACACACCAGCCCCTAGGCTTTGGGCCCAGGGGCACAGCCTTGCACCCCTACACCACCACCCATTGCAGTCCCAGTTTCAGGCCAGTTGGCAGGCAGACCTCCTGCAGACAGGTCACACTACCACCATCCCCCACCAGACCCTATAATCCATAAGCCCAACCCCTCCCAACCCACCCATCTGCTGAGATTGCCCTACTCCCTGAGACAGAGCTCACAAGTGCCAATTGGACTAAGAGCTGCTCCCTGAGACAATGAGTCAATCAGCACCTATTAGACCAAGAGGTCTCACTAACCAAGACTATCCATCAGACCAAGAGAGGCTCCCTCAGACACAGACACTGCTTGCACCAAGTGGAGAAAGAGATGGGTAGATACCAGTGCAAAAATAGTCAACAACATAAAAACCAGTATGGCTCCATCAAAACCTACATCAGCAAGACCTGAACATCCCAACACAGAAGAAACAGAAGAAATCCACCTTAAAAATGACCTTAAGAAGATGATAGAGATCTTTAAAGAGGAAATGAAAAATTATCTTAAAGAAATCGAGGAAAAGTCAAACAAAAATTGGGAAAAAAATCAGTAAATCCCTTAAAGAAAGCCAAGAGAAAGCAATTAAACAAGTGAGGGAAACAATTCAAGATTTGAAAACTGAAAGCGAGACAATAAAGAAGATACAAACTGAAGGAATGCTGGAAGTGGAAAATCTGAGTAAATGAACAGGAACTATAGATGCAAGCATAACCAACAGAATGCAAGAAATGAAAGACCAGATCTCCGGCGTTGAAGATACAATAGAGGAAATAGATTCATCAGTCAAAGAAAACACTAAACCCAACAAAGTTATGACCCAAAATGTCCAGGAAATTTGGGACACCATGAAAAGACCAAATCTAAGAATAATAGAGATAGAAGAAGGAGAAGAATACCAACTCAAAGGCATAGAAAATATATTCAACAAAATCATAGAAGAAAGCATTCTCAACCTAAAGAAGGAAATGCCTACAAAGATACAAGGTTACATAACACCAAATAGAGTGGGTCCAAAGATTAAGTCCCCTCACCACATAATAATCAAACCACTAAATATACAGAATAAAGAAGAAATATTAAGAGCTGTAAAGGAGAAAGGCCAAGGAACATATAAAGGCAGACCCATAAGAATAACACCTGATTTCTCAATGGAGACTCTAAAAGCCAGAAGGTCCTGGACAGACGTTAAGCAGACACTAAGAGATCATGGATGTCAACCCACTATTATGCCCAGCAAAACTATCATTCAACATAGACGGAGTAAACAAAGTATTCCATGATAAAACCAGATTTAAACAATATCTTTCAACAAATCTAGCCCTACAGAAAGCACTAGAGGGAAAATTCCAACCTAAGGAAGCTAGATACGCCCATTAAAACACAGGCAATAGATAGTCCCATACCAACAAATACCAAAGAAGGGAAACATACAATACTACCACCAAAAAAAAAAAAACAGGAACTAACAATCACTGGTCATTAATATCCATTAATATCAATGGTCTCAATTCACCTATAAAAAGACACAGGCTAACAGAACGGATACAAAAACAAGATCCATCCTGCTGCATACAAGAAACACACCTCAAGTTCAAAGACAGACACTACCTCAGAATAAAAAACTGGGAAAAGACTTTCCAATAAAATAGAATAAAGAAGCAAGCTTGTGTAGCTATCCTAATATCTAATAAAAATAGACTTCAAACTAAAATCAATTAAAAGAGATTGGGAAGGACATTTCATATTTATCACAGGGAAAATCTGACAAGATGAAGTCTCAATTCTGAATATTTATGCCTCAAATACAATGGCACTCACATTTGTAAAAGAAACATTACTAAAGCTTAAATCGCACATCAAACCCCATATACTAGTAGTGGACAGCTTCAACACCCCACTCTCACCAATGGACAGGTCTGCCAGACAGAAACTTAATAGAGAAATAAGGGACCTAACAGACATTATGACTCAAATGGACTTAATATATATCTACAGAACATTCCACCCTAATAAAAGAGAATATACCTTCTTCTCAGCACCCCATGGAACCTTCTCTAAAATCGACCACATACTATCTCACACCTGTCAGAATGGCTAAGATCAAAAACACTGAAGACAGCTTATGTTGGAGAGGATGTGGAGCAAGGGGAACACTCCTCCACTTTTGGTAGGAGTACAAAATTGTGGTAGTGTATGTGTACTTCTCTTCTTTGAGGTTTACTGCTGTGGTGTTATCTATTGCCTGTGTTTTAGTGGGTGTATCTAACTTCCTTAGGTTGGAATTTTCCTTCTAGTGCTTTCTGTAGGGCTGGGTTTGTGGATAAGTATTGTTTAAATCTGGTTTTGTCTTGGAATGTCTTGTTCACTCCGTCTATGATGATTGAAAGTTTTGCTGGGTATATTAGTCTAGGCTGGCATCCATGGTCTCTTAGCGTCTGCATTACATCTGTCCAGGTCCTTCTGGCTTTCAAAGTCTCCAATGAGAAATCAGGTATTATTCTGATGGGTTTACCTTTATAAGTCACTTGGCTTTTTTACTTTGCTGCTCTTAATATTTTTTCTTTATTCTGTACATTTAGCTGTTTAATTATTATGTGGTGAGGGGATTTTGGGGGGTCTAGTCTGTTTGGTGTTCTATAGGCTTCTTGTATCTTCATAGGCATTTCCTTCTTTAAGTTGGGAAAGTTTTCTTCTATGATCTTCTTGAATATATTTTCTGTGCTTTTGAGTTGGTATTCTTCTCCTTCCTCTATCCCTATTATTCGTAGGTTTGGTCTTTTCATGGTGTCCCAGATTTCTTGGACATTTTGTGTTATGACTTTTTTGGCATTGTTATTTTCTTTGACTGACAAATCCATTTCCTCTATTGTATCCTCTACACTAGAGATCCTCTCTTCCATCTCTTGTATTCTGTTGGTTATGCTTGCATCTGTGTTTCCTGTTCATTTACTCAGGTTTTCTATTTCCAGCATTCCCTCCATTTGTGTCTTCTTCATTGTTTCTATTTCCCTTTTCAGGTCTTGAACTGTTTCCCTCACCTGTTTCATTGCTTTTTCATGGTTTTCTTTAAGAGTTTTATTGTTTTCTTCTGCTTTTTTATTTGTCTTTTCCTCTAGTTCTTTATACATTTCTTCCCATTTTTTTTGACTTTTTCCTCATTTTCTTTATTGATTTCCTCCACTTCTTTGTTTATCTTTTCCTCAATTTCATTTTTTATTTTTTTCTTGAAAGGCCTCTAGCATCTTCTTGATGCTATTCTTAAGGTTGCTTTCTTCTGCTTCTTCCACCTTGTGATGTTCAGGTCTTGCTGTTGGGGGAGGGCTAGGTTCTGGTGATGCTGTATTGCTTTTTATGTTGTTATGTACTTCTGCCTTGACGTCTGCCCATCTCCTCGTCTAATAGGTATAAGAGGTGCCTGTGTCTGAGTGAGTTGCTGTTGGTCCACTGTGTGTTTGCTGTGTCTGTGTCTCAGGTGGCCATCTTAGCTCTTGATCTGATTGGAGCAGGCAGCTTCTGTGTCTCAGCGAGCTGCTCTTGGGTCAACTCAAGCTAGTTGATTCTGTGACTCGCAGATTTGTTCTTGGTCTTATCAGGGCTCTTGGTCCAGTCAGAGCAGACAGATTCAGCGTTTCAGGAAGCCTCTTTTGGTCCAATGAGAGGTGGCAGATTCTACTTCTCAGAAAACCACTCTTGGTCTAATCAGGGCTGGCAGATTCCCTGTCTCCTGAGTTTACTCTTGGTCCAATGATGGCTCTTTGTCCAATGAGAGCTCTCTCTTTCTCTGGGCCGTATGAGAGCTCTCTGAGCCAGATCGGAGCACTCTGGTTCAGATGGGAACTCTCTGGGCTGAATGGGAGCGCTCTGGGCTGGATGGGAGCTCTCTGGGCCAGATGGGAGCTCTGGGCCGGATGG